ACGAATGGAGTGGGTGTTCTTGCAATGTACCATGTACCATGTACAAATATTTGATGTATGACGTACAATCTTCATAAAATTATTCTCCCTTTCTCATAGGTGCAGTTGGCATACAGATGGAGAGGTAAAGTGTGCCTTCAAATTTCATAACGCTATATAATTTTGATGTAAAATGTTCTAAGGATTATTTCAAAATCTATTTTTATATCTAATTATAAAATTTTAAATTTCAAAAATAGTTAAAATCAAGTAGATCTATAAATATATGATAATCTTGAAAATTAACGGTATAGATAATATGTTGTAAAATGCACTATTTCTAAGACTTAAAATCGTTTTATTTTTCATGGTCATACATCTAAATGTCGAGATAATCGATCAAAAAGTTTTTCAACATTAAAACTACCTTTTCCGATGGATTTTTTAGGTGCATCCATAGTTCTACGTTGTAAGGTTGAATCATTATGTAAACTGTTTCCTTATCTCATTCACCCTTTCCCCTCTCTCATTCACACTTTCCCTTTTTAGTTGCCATGCATCTTGAAAACTAAGACATGTGCTAAACAAATGGGGCTCCGACTAATCAAGGTTTATTTCTAATTTGCCTTTGTGATACAGGAGATTTTAAGTCAATTAGAATATATTTGGAAAAGCTATTTAAAACTTTTGAGACCATTTATTTTTAATACAAAAAAGTCACAAACACTTTTATAAATAAATCCAATCGATGAATGTTTGTTATAATATTTGAGAAAGGATTTAAAAATAAAAAAATTACATATATATCCGTTATTACTAAAATACCAAATAGTTTATGTTATTACTTGAATGTCCATTTTTTTCACTTCATAACAAAAAAAAAATTAAAAAAAGCTTTTTTTACCCTTTTTTGGTTTTTGAACAATCGAAATGACTGGATTTTTGGTTGTTCGAAGACCAAAAATAAGTTAATTTCGGTTTTTGAACAACCAAAAATAGAGAAGTTTTTTTAAACTTCTGGAATGCGTAGTCCTATTTTTGGTTGTTCAACAAAAATAGGACATTTTTTGTTGTTCAACAATCGAAAATATAATATTTCCGGTTGTTGAACAATATAAAATAAGAATGCAAATTCTAAGCTTCTGTCCTATTTTCGGTTGTTCAACAACCGAAAATATAACATTTTCGGATGTTGAACAACCGAAAATAGGACTGCGTATTCCAAAAGCTTGCTGGAATATGTAGTTCTATTTTCGGTCGTTTAACAACTGAAAATATAACATTTTGGATGTTAAACAACCAAAAACAACACATTTTTGGATGTTAAACAATCGAAAATAAGACTGCATATTCCAACAAGCTTCTGGAATACGCTGCCTTATTTTCGGTTGTTCAACAACCAAAAATAAGAATGCAAATTCCAAGTTTCTATTTATTTTCGGTTGTTCAAAAATCGAAAAAAAGCAAAAAAGTTATTTTTAAAAAAAAAAATCGTTATGAAGTGAAAAAAGCGGATATTCCAGTAATAAAGGAAACTATTTTGTATTTTGGTAATAACAGAAACTATAATGGATATATACGTAATTTTCCTTTTAAAAACCTACTTAGATGCTGAAACAATGAATTCCAAAAGTTGGATCCTACCATGATCGTGTACTTATCCAGCTATAAACAAAATAGGAGATAACATGAGCTTGAGCCATAATACGATAAAAAAAACATAAAACACACGCCACAAGAATATAAAGATTTACGTGGTTCACCCCATGATGGCTACATCTACAGGCACGACAATTTGAAATCCAATATACTAATGAAAGTTACATCATAGATTTTGGGACATAGAATAACTTTCATAGAGTTTGGGGCATAGAATTACCTAGATCCATGGGGCATGACAAACTAAAATCCACTATACCAAAAAAACGTTACATTATAGATTTTTGGGACATAGAATTACCTCTCTAACTTGAAATCCAATGTACCAATGAAAGTTACATTATAGATTTTTGGACATATAATTACATTTCTAACTATCGATAAAACCCAGTCGAGCAAACCATTTTTACCTGCTCTCCCAACCAGCACCAACGCAGATCTCTCATCTCTATTCCACAGCTAAATTACTGTTTAGGAATATATCAATATCTATTCCACAGTTAAACCGCTGTCCAGTTAAACCATTGTAATTAGCACTACCGCTGATCTCTCATCTCTATTCTATAGCTAAACCATTGTCTAGGAAGAGATCAATTTCTATTCCACAACTAAACTGCTATCCAGCTAAACCACTTTTCAGGAAGAGATACATCTCTATACAGGAAGAAACCCTTAAGAGCAACCAAGACGTTTCTTACTAAAAGGGGAAACCACCCAAAATCTTCATTGGAATCACTTCTCTACAAGAAATCAACCTCTCAATTTACAAGAGGCACATCCGTAGTGTTTCTCTCCATAAGAAGCTCTCTTCTCTATAAAGGGACGCCTTGCTACCTCTCCAGGAAGAGACCCTTACGACGTTCTCTTACTAAAAAGGAAAACCACCCATCTCTCAAGGGGAAACCACCCAAAAATTTCATGAGAACCACTTTTCTACAAGAAATCTGCCTATCAATTTACAAGAAGTACATCCGTGATATTTCTTTGTGAAACCGCTATCCAACTAAACCACTGTGACCAACACCACTGCCGATCTATCATTTTTATTCCACAGCTAAACCATTGTCAAGGAAGAGACTAAACTCTATTCCACAACTAAACCACTATCAAAGAAGAGACTAATCTCTATTCCACAACTAAATCACTGTTTAGGAAGAGACTTATCTTTATCCAAGAAGAGACCTTTAAGAGCATCCAAGAAGATACCCTTAAGAGCAATTGAGACATTCTCTCACTAAAAAGAAAAACCACCAAAAATATTAAAAGGGGAAACTACTCAAAATCTTCATGAGAGCAAACTTTTCTACAAAAAATTAGCCTCTCAATTTACAAGAAGTACATCCGTGGTGCTTCTCTCCATAAGAAGCTCTCTTCTCCCTAAGGGGAGGCCTTGCTGCCTCTCAAATAAGAGATTCTTGAGAGCAACCGAGACGTTCTCTCACTAAAAGAGAAAACCACCCATTTCCCATTAAAAAGAGAAACTACTCAAAATTTTTTATGGGAACCACTGCTCTACAAAAAGGGTAAACCACCCATATCTTAATAAAAAAGAAAAACCACCTGAAATTTTTATGGGAACCGCTTATCTATAAGAAATCAGCATCTCAATTTACAAGAGGCACATCCGTGACGTTTCTTTCCATAGGAAGCTCTCTTCTCTATATGGAGAGACCTTGCTACCTCCCACGCACATGAGGCCGTTGCCTCTCTCTCTAAAGGAGGCCACATTTTCCATAGGGTGTCCAAATAGGCCATATTTATTATTTTCCTATTTTATCCCCTATATATAAGGTTAGGATCCACACTAAATAGGAAACTTCACATGGATGATATATATATCTCTAAAGCAAAGACATATATCCCAGAGTCCTAATCTTTGTAAATTCATATTTCATTTACAAAACTTATCAATATCAATCTTAATCCCACGGATTTCTTTATGTTGGTGATTTTGGATATCACCATATCCAACATCCTCAACCACCCGACCCTATTTCAAAGCCAATGGTCAACAATGATTATGACTTCCTTGTATGAAAATAGATGGTCTCGTTGTATATATCTCCTTTGAAAAGAAAACTAGGAAACTGAAAAATAGAATGAGCTGTTCCGTAGTTTTTCATCAAGGGCTTAATGTTTAATATTGAGGGTTTAGGGTTTAGAATTCCATATTCTTTCAGCCTAAAGTTGCCTACGTGTCCCCTTCGACTAGGGAATTATTTTGAAGATATTGAGTGATCGTATTGTATTTATGTTCCTTTTGGTTCAGTACGTGCCGTGGGAAGCCACATAAATAAGGGAAATATTGTTAGTTCTTAATAATAGGGAAACAAATAATATAACATCAAGGGAAAAAATCCAAAAGAAAAAACATGAGGCTTTGTAGTTTGGAAGTTTTCGAATTGGCTTTATCCCAAAAAACTAAAGAAGATGTCCATTTCATTAAAGATAAAAACCCTAGATTGGGCTTTTGGAAGATCTAGTGAAGTTTTTTTTTGGAAAATGGTTTAATAGGGCTGTAGTTTTATCAAAATAAGTAAAACTTCACTTTATAACTCATCAAAAATTAATATTTAAGTGTTGAAAAATCTTTAAATCGATCATCTCAGCTAGAACATTATGGTTGTACAAAAAAAATTAAGATTATAAATTCTTAAAATAGTATATATCGCAACAAAACATATAAACTGTTCATTTCAGCCTAAAAATAGGTATTCACATATTTACAAGAACTATATTATTTTTTAAGTTTTAAATTTTAATGCCAATGTTGAAAATTAATTCTAGAGTCATCATGATGTTTTTCAATGCTCAAAGTGCTTTCCGGAGGAGGACTTGATGCAAAGTTTTATTTTGTTTTCGTAAAACCTAGGACCTATAAAAGCATCAACCTATTTTTTTTTTTTAAAAATAGGATTTTTCTTCCCCTGGATTTTCCCAATTTGCATATGTCTAAACCCTATCAAACCTTAGATAAAATAGGCAGAAGGCAGTTATATTTCAGTTCCTCTCCCTAAAAAGCTAATTTTGATTTGAACCCCTTGGTCACATCACAAAGTGGATTGAACTTGTCTGGGTTCCAGCCTGCACTCACCATCTCTTGTGCATCCCCCTCTAAGAAAAGTCAAATGCTTGCAACAACATGAAACCCAATTAGGGTTTAGGGTTTAGTCTATTTAGATATAGTTTGTGGAGTGAGACGCAGCTAGAGAGAGAGGAGGTGTTTGTAGAGAGAAGCAGCTAGAGAGAGAGAGCAGGTGTTTGTAGAGAGAAGCAGCTAGAGAGAGAGAGCAGGTGTTTGTAGAGAGAGAAGCTGCTACAGAGAGAGGTGTTTGTAGAGAGAGAGAGGTGTTTGTAGAGAGAGAAAGATGTGTTTGTAGAGGTGTAAGAGAAACACATAGGGAAGAGGTGAGAGAAGGGTGTATAGGGAGAGAAAGTAGAGAGAGAGAGAGGGCCCCTCCACCCCTGTTGTGGGTTCCCACGCTGCTCCTGTGCTGCCTCCTTTGTGCCTTTGTTATCCCTCGGGTTCCCCATACTGAGAATAACGGAGGGGTGTTTTTGCTGTAACCGAATCATTATTATGACCGAATTCGTTCTCTAGAAAATAGAAAAGAAGTGAGAGAAGAGAGAGAGGCCACCTCTTAGAGAGAGAGAACCCACTTCTTCTTTGTCTCTCTAAGATTCCTACCACCCGCCATGATCAGCTTTTGTGCAACCATGTCAGATTCCAGCCAATTCCACCACACCCATCTTTCCCCTTTAGCCGTCTCCTCTTGTTTTCAAATTCCTTTTTCTAGGGTTTTTCTCCTCATATGAGGGCTCTGGTTCTCTGGGTCGATCGTTGTATCGGCTTATTCTCTTCTTTTCCCCTCTCTGGCTTCTGGGTTTCTTGAATTAGGCAAAAAATACCATCTGGGCATTGGGTTTCATCACTTAGGGCAAATAGATTTCATTCTGGTGTTTGGATCATAGGAAACATGGCGTATCAGCCTCTATCTGGTCAAGGACAGGGATCTGGTTCAGGATCAGGTTCTGGTTCCGGTTCTTCAGGCTTCGGTATCCCATTTATGGGTTCTCCTTTTGGTGATACCACTTTCACTAAGGTCTTTGTCGGAGGATTGGCATGGGAGACACAGAGCGACACCATGAGAAGATATTTCGAGCAATTCGGTGAGATCCTCGAAGCAGTTGTGATTACTGATAAGAATACCGGGAGGTCCAAAGGCTATGGGTTTGTGAGTATTCTCCTTTTCTTTTATTGAAGTTTTACTTTTTTTTTGTTTAGAGGTTTTTATGGTTTCATGATGCCTTTCTCATCTTATTGATTGTCAATACCTTATAAGTGTATGGGTTGCTAGTTGGAGGATTTAAAGTGATGCCTGATTTGGGTTCTATATGGATAAATTGGGATTTCCCATGGTTATGTTATTCCTCTTTCTTAACTAGGGTTTTACTGGTTTGGAAGGATTTTAGGTGATGCCCTTTTTCTGATTAGGGTTTTTATTATGGTTGGGTGGGGATTTCTTATGGAGGGTTTAGGTGACTTTCCGTGATCCGGAAGCTGCGAGGAGGGCATGTGCTGATCCTAGCCCAATCATCGATGGGAGGAGAGCGAACTGTAACTTGGCTTCTCTAGGTCGGCCTCGACCATCTCCACCTTATGGTAGGTTCTTTCTCTCTCTCATGTTAGATTACTTGATTGATCTATTGATAGCTTTTTAAGATTGATTGCAATAAACCCAGTCATTGATGCCTCCTGATGTTGTTCGCATGCTTGTTATCTGGCGGAGGAGGTTTTTTATCTCTATAGGGAATGCTTCATATCTAATAGCTATTGTTGCCACTGATTAGTTATCTCATAAGTTTGGATAGCATGCATTAAGGGTTTTGGGGTTGTTGAATATTGAGAATCATGGTACTAGGATTGATTTTGGAACATTATTTGAGTTAGTTTAAGCCCGCCATGGCTGGTTCCAAGCCCGGGCAAAAGAAGAGGGTTGTGTTAATTAGGGCAGCCAGCGTAAAACTTTGCCACATCTTTTCATGAATCTTGAAGCGGAATAGAATTCATGTAGCCAACCCAAAATAGATGGGATAAGGCTCGGATGATGATGATGATTTGAGTTAGTTTGAGCGGATTGTGTTGAAATGTTTTTCTGGAAGCAATACATTTGCTGGGCTTCTGTGATGTCTTTGTTGTGCTTTATTTTTCTCTTGCCACTCTTGAAATTGACCAAATTTGATCAAATTGTTGGCAATGGTGGTAAAAGTTTTGAGAATTTCATGGCTATATGTATGGTACCCAACTCGGATCATATGTTTTCCAAAAGGATAAAGATGTGATTTTTGGCATGCCTCGTAACCTTATGTGATAGTTATGTTCATGAAAACTTCCCCACAATGTAAATATCGAAATAATCAGTTCAGTTGGTAACTCTTTTTGGCAGAAATGTGGAATATGCTCAATACGAAAATGGGTCTCGAAATATTTTATATAAAATAAAGGTCTAGAAAGTTTTAACTGGGTAATTTTTCCTTAGACATGCACGCATGCGTATCGAAGTCTAAACTTAGTTTTCATGCAGAAGTTTGTTATTCGCATGTTTTTTTTTTTTTCTGTTGTGTGGTCAGTGACTAATGCACTTGTTCCGTGGCAACTCATTTTATAGATCGTGTAACTGTATATAATTTGCATTTTCAGTTCTATCTTGTGACTTTCTCAAATATCAAGATTAGATTTATGGAACATGACCTGTATGGAGGTTTGCATTTTTAGTTTGTGATTAGATGAATGGATATGAGTTTATGATCATAGATCTACACGCCAGTGTGCTCCTTTTGGGGGCCCAAAATTTCTAAATGTGACAACTGTTTGAATGAAAAGGTTTTCACTCCCAAACCCAAAGACACATTTGGATTTGCTAATCCAGCTACGTAGTGGTTAAATGGGCTCAAGCAAATCCCTAACACTTTTGAGCAAAAATAATTGAAGTTACTTGTATACACAACATGAAAAAAATTAATTTCTTTGTATTTGTAAAAATTGAAACAAAAACAAATCACTCAAGTTTACTTGACCCTGTGAGTTTCCAATAAGGATAATAATTTTGGGGAATTTGAGTTTGAGTTGAGCAAAATTTTCAGAAAGGTGCTGAAACTAAGTTTCTTGATTTGTCCCTCTACCAAGCCAAGGCAATTACGGTATTCAACTCGAATAAGTCCAGCTATTTTAACATTGGGACTTTAAACCAACATTTGAGCTGTCAGGTTAGGCTCACATAAATGAATGGTTAGGTGTAAGTTTAGTGAGCTATAATGTGTTACAGGGGATAAAATCAATGGGAAGTAGGTTTCTAACCCTTCTTGTGGATAGGAGTTACCATGGCCATCAACTACAGACTAGTCCTATGAATTTTCACATGCTTATGGGTTATGCGGAGGTTGTCTTGAAGAGGGAATCTACCTAACATTTGTTGCTTATGATGTGTGAGCAAGAGAGAAGGGAGGTGTGGTGAATCTTATAGCTAGGGCTTGTGGGGAGGATAACATATTTTCACATGGAGATGGGAACTTTCTTATGTCTTCCAAAATTTCAGCTACTTGTTTATATCGCAATACAATGCATCAAGTGCAAACCTGTTGCAGCAAAATAAATGTGCTTTCTTTCTTTGACTGCATGTGTTGTTGGATAAGGAGATTTTTTTTTCCCTTTAAATAGTTGGATGAACAGATCAAAATACTTCAAGCCTAACAAGACAGCCTAGGCTTTAATAACATCTTATAAATTCCAGAAGAACCATACTCTCGATGTCTTGTGATATATACGTGAGTGGGGATTCGTGACCAAAGTACTACACCTTTATAAAAAAAATATATTTCCCCAATATTGTAAATAGGGTAGTTGATCCATTTGTGAAACAAGAAAATGATAAGATAGATACAATATGCCTATCTTAAGCAAATGCCCTTACATGCCACTTCTCCTTATTGTTGGCCAGTTCAGTGGTTGGGATATAGTGGAGTTGTTTTTGAACCCCATTTTTAAGTCTTGTAACGCTTTCTTAGTTGAGAGACAAAACTTTCCAAAAGTAAAGCGGAGATGAAACCAAAAAGGAGTCCTTGCTGTGACTTTCTTGGGTGGCCAGGCTTGTGCTTGTATGTGTTGTTGGACAGGTGGGTAAGCTGTTCAGGAGAGGAGTGTGTATAGCATAAGGCCATTGAACTACAATACATATAGGAGAGGGCTATTTGTTAAGTGTTTGCATTTGAGGGATGTATGATGAGTAGCTGAGTTCCCACGAGGACTAGACTTTCAATGAGTGAGTAGTTGATAGCTTTCTTTTATTTTGGCTTTTAGGTATACCATTTGTATTTTACCATAGACCCTTTCTCTACCTGCTTTTAAATGATTATTTAAATAATATGATTAAATAATGAAGTACAGTTGGACCATCTAGGACCCTCGTAAGTTCTAGATCACCTTAGCTGCCGCTTGGGCATTCACATAACGCATATATGTATTTATGTATGTGTGTGTGTGCGTGCGCTCATCTGAAGAGATATATTGTTCCGTGAACAGTACAACTAAGAGGCACAAACAACCTTTCATTATTGATGGTGACATGGAGTTGTTTTAGTGTTTATCCTAGAAACTGTTTTGGTGGATGAGCATGCTCATTCCCACAAAGAAGAGGCATTATTATGGATTTTTGAGAGAATAACATCAGACATGATTCAAACAAATGCTGGGCCGGCACTTAGGCACTAGGTGGCCTATGGGATCTGGCCGCATAGGCACTAGGCACTAGGCTGGTGGCCGTGTAGGTGCTAGGCAGGTGCGCCAAATTGTGGTTTAGAGCAAATGGTTTTCGGTTTTTACTTTCAAAGCCTAAAAATAAGCTTGGGCGGTTAGAAAAGAAAATGAAAAGAAACTTGAAAAAAAACCATAAACATTTTTTTCACCCTTAAGAGGGAAACAATGACATAAGTGCCCCTTGGCTTAGGGCAAGTATTGCCCTCGGGAAGTGGGCAATTGAGACATTGTATATATATATAGATATATATATGGCAATGATTTCATGCAACAGTTGTATAGTAGTATAATGCAACAACCTTCAAAAACCATGTTATGGACATTTGTTTGATTCAAAATTTGAAATATACACTCTTTTCATTCTAATGAACAATCACAAAAAAGAAAAATTGGAAAACACAACCTAGAAAGTATTTGTTTAGCTCAAGTAACATAAGCCGTTCATTTTGGTGAGATGCTTAGATCTAGGTCTTAAAAGGATTTTTTTATTTCCAATTTTTTTGGATGGCTTTATTATCATTAGATGAACAATGTAAAAAAATAAAAAAATGATTTTGAGTTTATAAAGGCTAAGATCTTGAAATTTACCAAATGAACAGTCTAGATTCATTTTTGGAGGCTACTCATTTTGACCATATCTAGGGTTCAAATTAAACTTATTTTTTTTTGAGATTGATTATTGAGATGACGAGGGTTTGTTTGCAAAATTTTGAGTCATACAAAACCACAAACATGGTTTCTAGAAGTGTCGTTGCATTATACTATGATACAACCGT